TTACAAAAAGTGCTAAAATAGACACGGGCGTATAGACGATGTCTCTTTGACGTGTTTATTTTATTTCCTTTGACGTACACCCAGTAGGGGGACTGCCTTCACATTTATCTCAATTTTTCTTCCCTCTGATTTTGCTGTTCAGACCTCCAATCTCATTTTCCCAAAGTCAATTTCATACCAATAGTTTTTCTTTTTATATCATCATTATTTGTTAGCTAAATACAAACCATCCTGGGGCATCAACGAGTGGATTTTGTCACACTGTTACCTTTCTTACAGATTCAGGGCCAACACTCAGCAAAAACAAAGATCCAATCTGTGACCCTTGGCTGAACTCCTGGTCTCCAGGAGAGTCTGAGGCAGGGTTATCTGTCACAGTCTACTGATTAGCTTTCCTGCCACCCTAATCAAATATAAGCCTATTTAACTTGTATAATAATATCTTGAGACAATGTACTGACCAATTTACTAAAATTCAAATGAACTTACCAGAAATTAAACGTGGGAGATAATTCTATCATTTTATAGACAGCCTTTGTTTATTTGAAGCTTCTCTAGTCAATAGTCTTCTAGAACTTTTCTCCTCCATTCTTGGTACAGAAATTTTTTAAGTGTAATATAACAAACTACCCTTTGTCCAGCTATCTACTACCGATAAAACCGATAAAACCAGAAAATCTGGAAATCTTAGTAGTTCTTGAAACTCTAATAACAAAGCAACAATGTTGAGATTCAAAGGAAATATGCAGGGGGCAAGCAGGAAGAGGCGAAGGGGAGTCATACAAGAGCTCAATCAACTTCACAAAAAGAAAAAAGTAAAATAAGAAGAAAATGGGATATTCTATACTTCACAAAAAGAAAAAAGTAAAATAAGAAGAAAATGGGATATTCTATTTTTGGTTTGGACATACCTGGAGAAGTTATACAGGTAGGTAATATAATTTTATGACTAACCATAATCAGTATTTATAATTAACATCAAGCTATAAAAGTCCTGAAGAGAATTTAAAAGTTAAAAATCTCATGAAAATAAAAAACAGGATATCTTTTGTTGCAAAGAGATCATAAATGGCAAGTCCTTTGTACAACTACTTAAAGATACTAAAAATAATCTGTTGCAGGGTGGTACTTACTAGACCTTATATTGACAGTTAATTACACAACTCAAGGGTGAGAATGGGAGAGAGCAAGGGAAGGAGTGACATTGTCCAAAAAGAAATGTACTCAATCAGGCACCAGCGGCGCACACCTGTAATCCTAGCTACACAGGAGGCTGAAAATTGAGGATCAAGGTTCAAAGCCAGCCTGGGCAGGAAAAACCTGAGACTCTTATCTCTAATTAATCACAGAGGAAGCTGGAAATAGTGCTGTGGCTCACGTGGTAGAGCACTAGCCTTGAGCACAAAGGAGCTCAAGGATGGTACCAAGGCCCAGAGTTCAAGCCTCAGGACCAGCAAAAAAAAAAAAGAGAGAGAGAAATATACTCTTTACTTGTGTAACTGTAACCCCCCCCCCCGTACGTCACCTATATAATAACAATAAAAAAATAATAAATAGGGAAAAAGTAATCTGAAAAAAGGAAACAATAATAACATAATAAGCATATGCAATGAAGTTATACAAACAACAGACAGGATGCTGGTGGCCAACATCTGTAATCCTAGAGACTCAGGAGGCTGAGATATAAATATCAGAGTTCAAAATCAGTCCAACCAGAAAAAAGTCCATGAGATTGTTATCACCAATTAACTAGCAAAAAGCTAGAATAGGAGCAGTGGCTCAAGCAGTAGAGTCCCAGCCTTGAGTGACAAAGCAAGAAGAGAGATTTTGGCCCTGGGTATAAGCCCCAGTACTGGCACCAAAAAATAAATCCTTTTTTTTACACTTAAGATCATTAAAAGTCAAGGCAGGTGGGTTTAACAGTTGAAATCTACTGGCATTTCTTTTTTTCTTTTTTTTCAGTCGTGGGGCTTGAACTCTAGGCCTGGGGCTGTCCCTCAGCTCTTCAGCTCAAGGCTAGCACTCTGCCACTTGATCTACAGTACCACTTCCAGTTTTCTGGTGGATAATTGGAGATAAGAGTCTCATGGACTTTCCTGCCTGGGCTGGCTTTGAACCATAATCCTCAGATCTCAGCCTCCTGAGTAGCCACCAGTGCCCGGCTTCCTATTGGCATTTCTGCAAAGATTACTGCGTAGTTTGAGTTATGGGCTCTGCAGGCAAATCACATCTCACAACCATGATCTCAGCTCACGCCCCTCCTCACTGGGGCCTCCTGTAAGTCGGCTAACGATCCTATCATTCATGTGTGAAATAATACAACGCTGGTTTGAATAAATGTCATAATATTAGATTAGGCAGCATGCTGTGGGAATTCTGAGGGAACATTATCCCATTCTCATTTGAGCAGAAGGCAAGAAGTTAATAGATTTTCTGCAAGGTGGCTTTATATGGACCCTGAAAGGATGAACAAATCTTGGAATTAGTATGTCTGGTATGTATTTTGTATATTCTCAGAAAAATTACAAAATGTACATCAGTGGCGCAAACAATCATCTTACTGACACAACTTTGCCACTTAAGAAAAAAATCGCAGCAGGGCACTGGTGGCTCACACCTGTAATCCTAGTTACTCAGGAGGCTGAGGATCATGGTTCAAAGCCAGTCTGGGCAGGAAAGTCTGGTAGACTCTAATCTCCAATACACCACCAGAAAACTGGAAGTGATGTTGTGGCTCAAGTGGTAAAGCACTACTCTTGAGCTGAAGGGCTGAGGGACAGGCCCAGATTTCAAGCCCCATGACCAACAAAAGAAAGAAAGAAAAGAAAGAAAGAAAGGAAGGAAGGAAGGAGAAAGAAAGAAGAAAAGAAAAGAAAAATATCCCATTGTTAACATTGATTCTTTTCTTTTTCCTTTTTCTTACTTGTTTTTTGGTGCTGAGGATTGAACTGTGGGCCTTAAGAGTGCTAAGCACATTCTCCACCATGGAGCTAACTCTGGGTTTACACTATTTTTTCCTGTATAAGGAGACATGAAAATATATAAGAAAATTGTGTTTTTTTCTGACAAATTCTTCATAAATGCTGTGAACGTTTACATCCTTCTGCTATTTATTTTCAGTTTATAATGACTCTTCTCGTGTTCATGAACTTGTTATTAACCAGTTATCCCATTTTTAATGGACATTCTGAACATTTATAGTAGTCTCTTATTTTGTGGATATTTAAGATGTGTTAGAACATCTTCTAAGGCTTCTTTAAAAATAGGAACACATTAATGAACAAAGCCAACTTGTCACTGAAAATACAATCATCAGTAAGAGAGTTCCTCACCGGGATGCTGACTGAGGCACTGGAAAATTCTGGTAATAAAAACCATGAGTAAGCAAAGTGCACCATTCACAAAGTTTAGAGTCTAGCAGCTCCTGAGACTAACCATAGACCAGCATGGGTGGGCCAGGAGATGAGAATTCTAGGTAAGAATAAAAGGAAACTGAGAATTCCGGTTAAGAAACTGTTATTCAGTGTAGGCCGACCGCTTGGACAGAACTAATGTTTGGACGAAGATGACATAGGCAGTTGCCACATTGAGTTCTAACATTTTGAGTAAAATTTTGAATCTTCAGTTTACTGGAAGGGGAGAATTCAAACACCATTTTGCTATGGTGGCATTAAGACATTCCTTCAAAATGTGGGGTCACGAAGGTGACCACATTAAGAGGTGGGCCTTTCAAGGGTAATGAGACCATGAGCGTTTCTCCCTTATGCACGGGAGGGAGGGTCTTTTAAAGGCGCCTCACTCTGCTTTGGGCCGCCTTGCTTCTGACTTCCATCATCGGACCAAGCAGCAGCAAGGCCAGCACCACATTCGAAAGCTAAGCCTTGATCATAGACTTCCAGCCTCCAGAGACTTTAAGAGGTAGATTCTATTTTTAAAAAAATTGCCCAGTCTCAGATATTCTGTTATATATAACAGAATATGTATATGTATATATATATATATATATATATATCATACACATAGTGTGTATGTGTGTATATCCCTAGTTCAATGTAGTGAACATTCAAGTTGAAAGTTGGTTACTTTAAGATTAATATGAGTGGGCTGGGAAGGTTGCTCAATGGTAGAGCACTTGCCTTGCATGCCTGAGGCCCTGGGTTCGATTCCCCAGCACCACATAAGCAAAAAGAAAAAAAGCCGGTAGTGGCGCTGTGGCTTAAGTGGTAGAGCACTAGCCTTGAGCTGAAGAGCTGAGGGACAGCGCCCAGGCCCAGAGTTCAGGCCCCACGACCGGACCCCTCCCAAAAAAAGAAATCAATAATAAGTAACAAAAAAAGAATTAAAAAAAAGATTAATATGAGTAATTATATAAAGTCCAGAAGATAATCAGAAGGAAAATTATTTAGGTACTGGTAATTTGACTTTTTTTTTTTAATTGAAGTCAGCAAACATTTTATCCAAACAATCGAAGCCGTTGTCTGCCTGGCTTCTGTACAACTTTATCATTAGGCGTCCTACATCTAAATAATTCAGTGAAATATTATCAATGACTCCTCGCTTCTCTACCCAATAGCCGTTCCCTCTCTACCACAGAACCCTGAAGTGCTCAAAGAGGCCTCGGCGGGTGGGGCTCTGGCCCAAACCAGTCCCCGGAGAGAAGCACAGGAAGGGAAGGAAGAGGTCTCAGTTACACCGCCACGGAATCAGCTAATGCCAGAGACCACCCTCCCCACCCACCAATCTGAAATCCACTCCATACCTCATAGCCCGGGCACGAGGACCACAGAAACAAACTGCGACTGCATTTAAATGCTGTCCGTCCTGAGAGACCTCTCTCAGGCTTGGTTTCTTTTCTACTCATCCCAAGGCAAGTAACCAACAGCCATTGGTCAAACTTATCCCTCTCCCTCCCACCCCCCGGGCTGCAGGCCAGGAGGAGGCAGCACTGTGGAAAGCCGGGCAGCAGGTGGAAGGTGCTCAGGGCACCGCTGGATGGCAACATGCAGGAATTGCTGGGCAGCAGCTGGAGGAAGTTTGGCCACGCCGGCAGGGGGACATACGAGTGGCTACCCAGCGAAGCAAGCCTGCGTCTTCCAGAGACCCAGCTGCAGGTCTGTACCCAACCACTATGCCTTTCTTCTCCAAAGCATCTCAGTTCGATTTTAAGCCAGTAATGCCAATATTTATCGGATCTTAAAACCTAGTGGCAATAATTTACTTTGTGGATATAATGCTCCCCCCCCCCCCCCCCAAAAAAAATGAGTTCACTGATTGGTGTGGTCTAAAGGAAATAATTTAAAAAATTATTTTTTTGACAATGATTGATTCAAATAAAATTTGTTACAAATATATTCTGGGAAGACTTGATGTAGGGAAAAATATCCAAGAACACCTAAAGCTAGGTGTTGTAAGTTTTCTTTTTCAGTTTTTATTGTTCTTATAAAGGTGATGTACAGCAGGTTCATAAGTCAGGTAATAAGTACATTTGTTTTTGGACAATGTCACCCCTTTCTTTGATCTCTCCATCTTTCCCTCTTGTGTCTTTAAGTTTTATGTCTTGGTGTTACTGTTTTCTTCTTTGCCCAGTTAGCAACATCTCCATGCAAAACTAAGAGAGCCCCTGTTGCTGCTGGCTGTGTGTAACCACTGTGAGAAAGAGGCAGAAATCAAGCCTTAAGCAGGATAGCCCGGGGCTACGGAGTCCTCGTGTCTCACTAAGAAACGCAGGAGCTGCTTTGCTTTGTCTGGAAAGCCACCAAAGCAACCTCGCAGCACCAAAGAAACTACTTGTAGACACTTCGAAACAAAGAATTTTATAATCAGGAGAAATGAGTGCCTACTAAGTACTCAAGGTCGACAGAAATTTATTTCCTTCTTTTCTAGAATATCAGCTAGTGAGATTAGTATGTGGTTCTCCTGAATATCCTTTTGCGGAAAAGATACATACAAATATACAGACAGACAGATAGTTCCTTCTGCAGTTACAACTTTAATTTGATATTTCTAGGTGATATTGTTCAAAAAGAAATGTACTATTTACCTGACTTATGTAACTGTAACCCCTCTGTATATCAACATTATAATAACACTTAAAAAATTTAAAGGGGCTGGGAAGGTGGCTCAGTGGTAGAGCGCTTGCCTTGCATGCATGAGGCCCTGAGTTCCATTCCTCAGCACCACATAAGCAGGGGGGAAAAAAGCCGGAAGTGGCAATGTGGCTCACAAGTGGTAGAGTGCTAGCCTTGAGCTGAAGAGCTGAGGGACAGCACCCAGGCCAGAGTTCAGGCCCCACGACTGGATCCCCCCCACCCAAAAAAATTTTTAAGCAAAACACTCGCTCAGAAAATACAATATCAATAAATTATTAAAAGTTAAGAAATAACTCTGAGGCTAGTGGACTAATTAGAACATTTCCTGGAAAAGAAATCTTGGATGTACTTTTTTAAGAGTTTTCTTTTTGTCTCAAATTGTCCTCATGTGCTATAAATATTAGATAGAAGTCTTCAAACACCAGCCAACGAATGAAAGTACTGATTACAGAGGTTTTGGGTTTTTTTTCCTTTCCCAGAGTTTTGGTGATAACATAGTGGTGTAATTGTAACAATATTGTCTGTTCTATAACCTGTTCAATAGAACATTAAGTAGTTTTATATTCAGTGCATATTCAACTTACAGGTCATAACAGAGAATGTAAAATTTGATGCCTACAACACTGCAGGAACTATTATCATCTATTATTGATGTGGGCCAAAAGAAAAAAAAATGGTAAAAGGGGTCTGAGATTAAAGAATCATTGCTTTAAATAATAATTTTAATATATTTAATGATTTGTTTAGAAAGAACAAATTATAGTTAAATTTTTCTTTGACTCGACTTATTATCATACTCAGTTTTATCTGTTCTTCGTATGCCATACTTACTATGTCATAACAGATTTTGAGTAAATTATTCTGATTGTGAACTTATGTGTGAAAAAAACAGAAGACCTCCCTAGTCTAGAAATACAACTCCATCACACACTGAACACATATCACTAAACTATTTTTCTAAAATATATATTGACAAAAATATACATTTTGTATAAGAGGTTTCATTTTCACTCTTTTCCATCCTTGTATCAGCAACTAGCTACATTTCTTTGGATTATCTTTACTATTTTAGTTTTAGTAAATCAGGTCCCTTTAGTCCTTGAAATATGATCCTATCAATGTCTATTATTCACCTCGCATTTTATACACAGATGTTTTTCATCTATTTCCTATAGAAGAAAACCCAGGCTTCTACCGGGCCAGTAGCTTTCAGGGCACAGACATGATGCAGGATCATCCTGGAATTCAGAGGCAAAACTGACAGACCTCAAAAATCACAAGTGCTCTGTTCCTAAGGAGATCTTCATTTATTTTAATTCACACTTTCCCAAAGGGAAAAAAATCTGGCAGTATAAATATTAAACCATTTAGTTTCAAGTCCCAAAAACTTACACATCCTTGTAAAGCTTGTAAGAAGTAGAGAAGATTCTGCAAAAGGAGACAAGCCAGGCTTCTTCCACGAAGAGGACACTTGACAACTATAAGCTCTCAGAGTTGTTATGTTTTATTTTAAATAAGAAAATAACTTACTGTTTTTTTCTTTAAAATCTTGAACACAATGGTAAGAGTTTAAAATATGTTCTTCCTTTCATAATAGTGCATATTAACATTTACATTTGATTAAATGTTGTACATAATTGAAACATTCTTAATACTTCCTTCCCATGGCAATATTTAAAGTGATGTGCTTGTAATCAGAACAGTATGCACTCATGTTATCTTCCTGAAGCATTCATTCATAGCTCTAATATTCTTTATCAGAAACTCATTGTTCTTGTGAGGTAATACTACAAAATTAATACTCATGATTGCCTATGAATTGATCTGTAATTCTGTTTCCTTACAATTTAAAAGTTTTCTATAGTTAAATCTCACAAATATTATAAAAAATCACATTTAAAAATACAAAAATCTCATTCCTGCCAATTGTCAAATTGGAATTCAAATATTAATATTATGTGATATAAATAGTGTGTGATTTTGTCCCAGAAATTAAAATTAATTTTATGGCACTAAAACATTTTTTGTTTAATTCTGAAATGTTTTTAAATGTATCAATGGCCAGATAGCAGATAATCTTATGCCGGACTGAGGTCTGAGATCATAGTTCAAAGCCAGCCTGGGCAGGTAAGTCCATGAAACTCTTCCCTCCAATTAACAAGCAGAAGAAAATCAGAAGTGGTGATATGGCTTAAGTGGTAGAGCTCAAACCTTGAGTAAAAAGCCAAGCAAGAGCAGGGGCCTTGAGTGGGTGAGTGTACACACACACCACACACACACACACACCACACACACACACACACCACACACACACACCACACACACACATACACACCACACACACATACACACCACACACACACATACACACACCACACATACACCACACACACCACACACATACACACACACACACCACACACACACACACATACACACACCACACACACACACACCACACACACACATACACACACCACACACACACATACACACACCACACACATACACACACACCACACACACACCACACACACACATACACACACCACACACACACCACACATACACACACACACCACACATACACACACACATATACACACACCACACACACATACACATACCACACACACATACACACACCACACACACACACACCACACACATACACACACACCACACACACCACACACACCACACACACACCACACACACATACACACCACACACATACACACACCACACCACACACATACACACACACCACACACACACAAACACCTATACACACACCACACACACATATACACACCACACACACATACACACACCACACACACCATACACACACACATGCACACCACACACACACCACACAAACACACACACCACACACACACAAATACACATACACACACACCCCAGACACATACCACACACACACAAACACATATACACATACCACACACATATACACACCACACACACATACACCATACACATACACACACCACACACACACCACATACACCACACACACACACATACACACACACATACACACACCACACACACACACACCACATACACCACACACACACACCACACACATACACATATACATACCACACACACATACACATACACACACCACACACCCCACACACACCACACACACACACACACACACACCACACACACACACTAAAAAAGTGCATAAATCTTGAGTGTTCTTGGTAGTTCCTTAGTAGTAGACCACCAACCAGAATGCATTGTACTATTTTATGTCAATGAAGAAGCTGTTGGATAGTCAATGGTACTTCTGGACCTTCTGAATTCCCACTTTGTGGTTTAAATTCATTTCCTTTCACGCGGGCCTAGCTCTTTGTCATAGTGAACGGTGACAGTTGTTTTTAACATGGTGAGTCGTAATCATAAGCAGAAGAATAGATGGAGAAATGGGTTTCGTGGCCTCAGACATTCAGGACCACCTGCCCTGACCCTATAACTCACTTTCCTCCCCTAACTCCAGGGCACCCAGCAAGTGAGCTCCTCCCAAGCCGATGCCGAGCCCTTCCTGTGCATCCTTCTCCCAGCCACCGTCCTGCTCTTCCTGGCCTTCCTGCTGCTGTTCCTGTACCGCCGCTGCCAGGCCCCGCGCGCCCGGGCCCCGGGGCTCAGCGTGGACCTCGCAGAGCCCCTGGGCCCAGGGGAGGTGACCGACTTCCTGCCTGGCCTCTCGTGGGGCAGCGAGCAGAGCGTCCCCTACTCCCCGCTCCCCGCCCACCGGGCCCTGCCCTCCTCCTCTGCCGCTGCCGGCCTGCCACCCTCCTACGAAGAGGCCACCAGGGCCCCCACTGGGGAAGAGGCCTCTGATGTGGCCCCTCAGTACCAAGAACGGGCACCTTGATTGGGTAGCCAAGGTCAACGGACCTGCAAACCACCGAAAACCCAGCTCTTAACTGACCCCGTGCAAGATGGAGAAGACATCCACATCCACGAAGGCCTAGCAGATTGGAGGCCTCCCTTGGGCTGGAGATAACACTTCCTTGTTCATTTAGATGATCTTAATGTCCAACTTTTGAGGAACAAGTGCCCCCGGCTCTCCCAAAGATGACCAAGGACTCCAAGAATGCATAACGTTCCTGAGACTAAGGAGAAAGTTCTGTATGTGTTGAGAAAAAATTAATAAATTATTGCCAGTAAGTATAGAACCAGCTCTGAAAGTCAAGAAAAAAGAAAAGAAAAATACAGGATTAATTAGCCAAAGGCTTCTGCCGTTGCTACCAAATACACCTTTTCTTCCTGCACTAGTTTTTCTGGGTCTCAAGGCTCCACTTCTATGGGAAGGCTTCAAAATGCATAGAGAGGTCTATGCAGCAGTGGTTTATTGTGTTGTAAATAATGATGGCATGCATTTTGATATTAACAATGAAAGTACAGAAATTTATACATATTTTAGTTAAAAATATAATAAGCCTCTCAAAATTATCTCTTTTGTGGTATGGAGCTTACATATCTGTCTTTTGATCTGCTTTCTAGAACAGGAGAGAGAATTGACAATTACAGGGACATGTCCTGCACTAGAATATTGTGGGTCATTTGACAATGTGGCAGAAGACATTGTTGCTACTATAACACGTTCTCTTATTATTCCATACTATATATCTTAGCTACCATTACCATAATGCACAGCACTGTTATTAAATTTGTTGTATTCACCTAGCAGCAGTCACAGGTAGAAATCAGTTTAATATTGGAAAGTAAAGATTAACACTGGGCCACACCATAAAACAGAAGCAGATTAGCTCTAACCATATAACCACCCCATTCCAACTCTGAATTCACAGACTTCAAAACTAGAGTTTACAGAGATGAAGCCACTTGCCCAACATTGCATATCTTGGAATAGACCTAGGACCAGATGCCTGGCTCTCTGATCTGAGCAGAAGTATCTGCCATGGTGGTAGGTGTTTTCTCAGGAACTTTATACAAGTTCAGTTTCAGCCTTTGCTGAAATGGGTCACATCAGAGTAGGAGAAAGTAAGTTTGGCGCAGTTAGAAATCTCCCCTTGGTAGATATTACCACATGGGAGGTGTGTCAGGATATCCACAGTGGTGACAGGGAGGGGAGATGAAGGGTATAGGGGTGACATTCATAATTCTTATCTTCTCAATGTTATAATTGTTTTGCTTTGTTGTTGTTGTTGTTGTTTGCCAGTCCTAGGTTTGAACTCAGGGCCTGAGCACTGTCCTGAGCCTCTTTGTGCTCAAGGCTACTGATCGACCACTTGAGCCACAGCATCACTTCCAGCTGTTTCTGAGTAGTTTATTGGAGATAAGAGTCTCGCCGACTTTCTTGCCATGATCCTCAGTTCTCAGCCTCCTGAGTAGCTAAGATTACAGTATGAGACACAGATACCAGGCTCAATGCTATAACTAAAAAAAAAATTTTTTATTTGTAAGCAGGGAAGGAGGGGAAAATAGGGGAAGAGAAGGAGAAGGGATGACAGTATCCAAAAAAGAAATTTCCTCATTACCTGACTTATAAAATGGTAATCCTTCTGTAAAACATCTAATAATAACAATAAAACTATATATATACAGTACCAAAAAACAAACTAGACTGTTGGATGAGTCCAAATGATTTTAAAAATAATAATGGTTTTATATTTGAGGACTAAAGCAAAATATAATCTACTTGGGTGGAAAAAATCAATAAAGTTTGTTTTAGTGAAATTATAGTAAAAAATTCTCTAATGTGTTTTAAGGTAAATAAACAAATGAGAATGAAAAGCCTTTCTCACATTCTTTTTTTCTGGGGGGAAGAAGGTTTTTGAGTCTTGAACTCAGGGTCTAGATGTTGATCCTGAGCTTTTTGCTCAATGCTAGCTCTCTATTCCTTGAGCCATAGCTCCACTTCAAGCTTTTTTGGTAGTTAATTGGAGGTGAGAATCTCACGGACTTTCCTGCTCAGTTGGCTTTGAACTGTGATCCTCAGATCTCCTTCCTGAGTAGCTAGCACCACAGGTGTGAACCACAGGTGCCCAGCTCTTCACATGGTTTTTAACCCTAAGATTCCAGTTCTGTGAAAGGGAGGACTGATTCTTTCCCAACTGCCCTCATTCTCCTTCTTGGATTCCAGAAATCATCTGCTAAAGACAGACTAGGCCCTTCCAAACACCAAGGAGTGCATTTTGCTAGGTTATTTTGATTTCAGTCCCTGTACCAAGAACGGATTTGGTCTTAGGAGATCCACCAAGGAGAAGGAACTTTTTTAGAAAAGTTTGTCTTACTATTAAAAATAAATACATGAACCCTCTGTACAGCATCTTTATAATAAAATAAATATGTGAAGCTAGGCACCTGTGGCTTACACCTGTAATCTTAGCTATTCAGAAGGCTGAGATCTGAGGATTTGGGTTCAAAGCCAGCCTGGGCAAGGAACTCTGTGAGACTCTTTTTTTTTTTTTTTTTGATCAGTCTGTGGGACTTGAAGTCTGGGCCTGGGTGCTCTCCCTGAGCTCTTCAGCTCAAGGCTAGCACTCTACCATTTGAGCCACAACAATACTTCTGGTTTTCTGAGTGGTTTATTGGAGATAAAAGTTCCATGGACGTTCCTGCCTAGGTTGGCTTTGAACCCTGATCCTCAGATTTCAGTCTCCTGAGTAGCTAGGATTACAAGCATGAGCCACCAGTGCCCAGCTGTGAGACTCTTATCTTCAATTAAGCATCAGAAAACTAGAAGTGCACTGTGGCTCAAAGTGATAGAGTGTGAGCCTTGAGTGAAAAAGCTTAGGGACAGCGCCCCGGCTCTGAGTTCAAGCCCCATGACCACCACCAACAACAACAACAAAAATTAAATAAAAATAAAAATAAATAAATACATGGAAAGAAATACTCTTACTCCTTTCTAGTTGTTCTGCATCTAAATATGATATCTGAGGTTACTATAGCCATTTTGCAATCATGAGGCAGGGCATTACTCATGACTGATATGAGAATAGAATAAAAAGAGAAAACAAGTGCATTGATGACATGGTAGAGCATCTGAATTAACCATGTAACAGTCTATATCTTAATGACAGAATATCTTTCATATGGTCTTAAGACATTGCTACACTGTATACATGTATGGACATGTCACTATAAAACTTCCTTGTACAAGTAATATATACCAATAAAAATGTTTAGTATTTTCTTTTTTTTTTTTTTTTTTGTCAGTCGTGGGGCTTGAACTCTGGGCCTGGGCACTGTCCCTCAGCTCTTCAGCTCAAGGCGAGCACTCTACCACTTGAGCTACAACGCCACTTCCACCAATAAAAATGTTTAAAAATACTGGAGAAACCAATAAAAAAGGAAGTGTAATTGATGAAGCTTGGGGTATAGCTTAATGGTAGACCCCTGGACTATCATTCACCTTGACTTAACTATCATTAGCACTGTAATATATACATATATGTATATATACTTAGTAGGCTAATAAAGTGGAAATACAATCTAAATTATTCATTTAAAACTACAAAAGAAATTGAATCAGTAATTAAAACTCTTCCAAAACAGAAAACTTAATGCCCAGATGGGTTTACTAGTAAATACCATTAAACATTTAAGATAGAAATAGTATCAGTTCTCTACAATCTCTTCTAAAATATAGAAGTAGAGATGATGCTCTCTAACTTATTCTTTGAGACTAGCATTATTGCCCTGTTAGCAAAACCAAACACATTACCAAAAAAAGAAAGCAAAAGACCAATTTCTCTTATCAACTTGGATCCAAACTCAACAAAATATAAGCAAGTCAAATTCAGAAATAAATTTGAAGTATTATATGTCATATACCACAACCAAGTGAGTTAATCCCAAGTATGCAAAACTACTTTAACATTAATACATCCATTAATAAAATACATCACAACAGCAAGTTAAAGAAAAATATCATAATATCACACTAGAAGCTGAAAAAGCATTTGACAGAATCAAACACCATGCATGATCAAAACTTTGAGCAAACGAGTAACAGAGGAGAGAGCTTGCACAATTTGATATGGAACTCCTACAAAACACTACAACCAGTGTCTTAGTAGTAAGAAAACAGAAGTTTCCTTGTAAGGACTGTTTCCTCCCACCATTCCTTTCGACAATGTGAAAGTCCTTGATCATGCAGTTAGAAGAAATAAAAATCCTCCTCCCTCCAAAAAAAAAAAATTAAACGAGGGGCTGGGAAGGTGGCTCAGTGGTAGAGTGCTTGCCTTGCATACCTGAGGCCCTGGGTTCGATTCCTCAGCACCACTAAGCAAAAAGAAAAAAGCCGGAAGTGGCGCTGTGGCTCAAGTGGTAGAGCGCTAGCCTTGAGCTGAAGAGCTGAGGGACAGCGCCCAGGCCCAGTGTTCAGGCCCCAGGACCGGACCCAAAAAAAAAAAAACAAAACAAGCAAGAAAGAAGAAAAATGTAGGAAAGGAGGATAAAATGATTTCTCTTTGCAGATGATAGGACTGTCTATATAGACAATCTGAAAACAAGGACAAAAATGTCCTGGAACTATTTAGTAGGTTTAGTAGATTATTATACTAAGTCTTGAAAGTTAATGTACAGAAGTCTACTGCTTTTCTGACCAGATAAACCAGGTTTGAGGAGTCAGGTCCACTCATTGCCAGTTCTTTTATTCTGCATGATTTATTGAAGTCTGTTCATTCTCAAAAGATTTTTTTTTGTATCCAAGTAAATAGAGGAGATAGAAATGTCCATAGCTAGACTAAATTTATTGTCTTATAAAAATTATTGTCTAGAAATATGGGCATATAAGCTATTTTTAATTTGTTTTAGTGAAAAAAAAAGAGTATGGTAATTCACCAGCAATAAGGAAAGTGCCATGTAGAGGAATTTAAGGGAACATTTTAGCTGCCCTAA